CCATGAAAAAAAGATACATCAGTCTCAACAACTTATTAGTATTTAAGTTTTGGCATGGAAATATACCAAAATATTTCAAATATTATTTTTATTATTTTTATTTACAGTGCAATATTAGTTTAGAAATAATTAAAGGTAAGAAATAATATAATATTTATTAGCTCTAAATATGGCTTAAGAAAATTTTTAAAAATTGTGACAAATTTATGTTAATCAAATCGATGGATTTTTTCATTGAATAAAGTCAATTTAGTTTTTAAAAACGTACCAAAAATTAGTTTTTTCTTCTTTCTGTGTTATAAATAATGTGTATAAGTTTTTATCATGAATTTGATCTAGATTTGATCTACTCTTACTTTTTTTTTTTACTTTAGAGGTCTGAGTTTGCTAGATATTCCATATTTTCCATTCTTTTTTGCTGGGTTACTGTTCAAGTTACGATTTTGAGCTCTCTGAGAATTTCGTGACTTGGTCTTTCTTTGAGTCATTTTATTATAGGATGATGAATACAGTATTACCGTTACTGGGCTTGAATATACCGTTACTGGTATTATAAAGAATTATTGGCTAAGTTTGCAAGACTAAAATCTTGGTCTTGGTGAGTGCTATTTTTTTTAAAATAAACATTCAAAAGAGCTTAATTGTTCTTGAATAAAGGATCGAAATTATGACTGTTAGTTGTTTCAAAGTTTGTCGCTTGTGTTTATTTTTATATGTATTTCATCGTCAAATTATAATTTGTAAAAATTTATTGCTTAAGTGATTTCACATTATTGTGTAAAAGTGTCTGAAGAAGAACCGAATTCATTAATGACAGTATAATATAACACACAAGTTCTTAAGCAGTACGGCATATTTATTTGAATAGTAGCACTTGTGCAACAAACTAAATACCATTTCAACAGAATTAACCCTGCAGTCACGTGTGTTATATAAATCCACATCTCAAAATCTTAATTCTATTTTATGATATTGCAATATACCAAAATTTGATAAGCTCATTGAAATGAATGAAGGAATGACAAGCTTTTACAAATGTTAATGAATTGAGTAACAATTACTTCAGTGGCTTCATTTAATCCATCTTTTCAAAAGCTGCCAGAAACACGTTCAAGTTTAATCTTTTTATCGAATGTATAATTAATGATTATTTAAATAACAATCGTCAATGTGATTTGCATATATCATGATTTTTTCAATCCCTGAAATCACTTGATTGTCAAACTGTTCATCAAGTTTAAAGGTCAAGTTTATGCGGCTCTAAACCTTTTTAGCTAAAATGCTACTTGCTGATTTGTTTTCACTTTGTGTTTCACGTCGTACACGTTTGGCAACAGCAGCAACTAATGCTGCACCTCGTCCACTTCCATCTTCAGAAAGCATAAGTTGATACTCCAAATTTTTAGGTAGTAACTGATTAATTTTTTGATCTAAAATCTCGGCAAAGTATGGATGGAAACGAAACAGTGATCCGTCAATACCAACAGTTACGTATGGTTTTTGTAATCGACTCAATAGACAGGTGATCGCAGCTGCAGTTAAATGTGCTGCTCTAAAAAAAGCACTTGTTACACAAATTAAAATTAAATGATTAATTTAATGCTCGCAAAGAAGATATAATAATACATTAAGCGCTTGAATCATTCTGAATACCAAAGTAATTATTACCTAGTACTAACTACTGAGCAGACATATGCGACTACTGAACAATCTTGAGTAGTTACTCGTTCTATACCAATATCTTCTAAAATTTGCATAGTTTTCTGGTATGGTGCGTCATTTTCTTGTTCAGCTTCAATTTCTGATACAAACTTTGTAGGAAAACAGTATGGTTGTGAAATTGAATGATAATCACCGTCAAAAATTAGCTTTTCCTTAGCTAAACGTACTAGCAGGTGACGTACCAATTCACCCATATACATGCCAGAAATCATTTTTTCAAATAGCTGCATTCCTGGGTTTACTGTTTTTTCATCAACTTGCATATCATAGGATGAACGTACAAAATTTAGGCACCCATCATCACCAAATGCACCCCATTCCATATTAATAATCATTTCGTTTGGATATTTGTCTTCATCTAATTTTAATTTTTTCAATTTGGGACAATTCGATAATTTCTCCATGTAGCAAGCATTAGTACCAGTACCAAGAATAACTCCAATTTGACAGCTATTCTCTTTAAATGCGCATGCCATTAAAGTGCCAACGGTATCATTCAATATTGCTGCTACGTCAATATCAATGTCTTTTCGTCTAATACAAGCTTCGCGTAAAAATTCTACAACATCTTTACCTTCTACATCACTTGCGCTAAACCCTTTGGTCCAATGTATAAGTTTACCTGATGCTAAACCTTCTTGTAAAACTGGAAACGAAAAAGTAAAACCAAGTGGCAGTTTATCAGCACCTTTCAAACCATTTTCTTCAATAAAATTTGCTAAACATTTGACGATATGATCAAATAACTTGATTCCGGAACCTTTCATGATAGAATCTGGTACACGGTAAATTTTTCCGCTCATTTCAGCTTCGGTACCATTCAGACGGATAAGTAATATACGAAAATTGGTACCACCTAAATCTAATGCCAAATAATCCCCTTTTTCTGTGCCATTCGGTATAGCTCTAACAAATGATGGTAACATTTTTAGACACGATTTTACACCTGGTTCATCACTCAAACCTTTTTCCATTTTAGTATGCATCTCTTGCATTACCCGCTTCAATTGTTCATCCGATAATATCATTGGTCTGCACAGTTCTTCAATTTTTTCATTCTGAGTATTGTTTTCACTAGAGTCTGTTGGTGTTTCACTTTGCATTTTATATCTTACCTTAAAATATTACTGTGCTTATAAATCAAAATAACCTTTAGACAGCAAATAATAAACTATCTAGGAAAATACCACATTACTTGATCAAAAAGTCTCGAAAACAGAATACATAATCTCACCTTGCACAATCAACTGGCTTTTCATCGATAAGCTTTCACTAAAACGGATAAACCAGCTTAGGACGGATAAGATAAACAAAATGAATTCTTATTTTCTCGGTAGTTAAATTTATTCGCAAATTATGTTATCACTCGATTGCTACTCTCAATCCTATGCTAATTTCGCTTTCGCACGCGTAATTTTTAAAATTTGCATATAAAATGTAATAACTGGATAAAGATTACTTTTTTAATGCAATTACAAATATAATAGTATCTAACAGTTTCAAAATAAAGTAGCATTTTTGCATTAATTTGGTGAATAGCAAATGTTAAGATAACAATGAAAACAATACAAGTACAATGCAAAAAAAAGCAGCACAACTAATTTTACACGTTTCACTAATTGAAATTCGATGAATTGATATCGTTGCCATTGTTATAATTTTCCATTGTGTTTAAGTAATACCATACGTAATACAATCATGATAACGTACGCACACATACGTACACATTTGCGCATATCACGTTCATTATATATTCATATACATTTACATCGATATGAGTTGAATAAGCGCAAGTAACACATGCATATATACAAAAAAAGAACTGACACGGATAAATTTACGCACACATATGAGTAATTAGATTGATATGAATTATACAAATATAAATATGGCAAAAAAGCTGAGACATTTTTCTTTTACGTTTTTCTGTTGCATGTTCCTGCTCATAGCAGCAGGAAATCGTGCTTATGAGCAACAGGAAATCGCCAACAGACAGTACCAAATAAATCGTGAACAATTTTAAGCACAGAAATGAGTAGATAGAATTAGGTGAAAATATTTATTATTATTCAAAAATATTTGCCAATATTCATTTAAATATGGGCATCATATATGCAACAAACTTTGACCCACAGAAAATACTTTTCACTATAATCACATTTTGAATTGGCGGAACTACTAGATAATATTGTTAAAGGCATGACAAGGAAAGTAATTGGTGTTATAAATTTGGATAGTATTTATATACAATAAAAAATTTTATTTATTCGCCATGACTTATCTCCAGATTCTGTTATTTTTCCTCGAGATTTTCCTTCGAGAAGCCTTTTTGAATGTTGGAAGATGGAATGCAGACGACAGTCGGGCGATAGGACTGCAGAATCGTTGAAGCCATCTCAGTCGACATAGTGAAAAATATTCAAAAGCTCGTATTTGCACATTTATGAACTAAAGTCGTAAAACTTTTCACTTAGTGTTTTATTAACGTATGTAACTGAAAGTACAGTTGGAAGATTGTTTGAATAGTTTGTTTAATTTTTGCTAAGAAATCTGTTCATGAGATATTATTTTTGAAATATTTTTGAGAAATATCAAAAATAATTCAATTCTTATGAATTGCATCGAGAAGAATTCTTATCATTCTTAATATATTTTTCAATATAAAAAACTACCACAAATTGCAATTCCAACAATAATAATGATGGCTTATAACGCGAAGTCATTTTTTTAAATAATTTTCATCATTCTGTTGCTTTCAAATTGTTATGCAAGAAAGAATTTATCTCGATGAAGCGTTTGATGAC